ATAAGTACAATATAAAGAAAAGACACATCGACAAATCGAAACTAGCTAAACATATCCTTACAGAAGATGGACAACATCCCAGGCAACCAGATGACGTTCCAGTGACGTCTTTTTTACGTCACTTGAATGACCAAGGTGACGTCAGTAGTTGACGTCGCATTGACGTGATAATGACGTGAATAAGTCACAGCCCAATGACGTCATATTACTCACGTCGTATTGACGTCATTCACTCACCAAACTGTGACGTCAAAATGACGACTGAATTTGGCGATGATACGTAAAAAAGATTCCTTCAACATGGTGTGATAAACACCGCTAGCCTCTGATGACATTATATATAATATTGATTATGCATTGTTGAGTCCCTCCTGTGTCATGTTCATACAATCGCCTATTCAGCAGCGCCATCCTTCAGAATGCAATCAGTTACTCGTATTTGTATCAAAAATTATGTAGCTTGTGTCGGGGAGATGTAAGCAAACAAAGAATAGTTTGATAGCAATCGAAATGATGTTGGCGAATTTTGCTTCACTTTGTTGAATTATGTATATTGATGCATTCTTTGTCACCCAACAAAAATTATTGAAAAATTTCCTAAATGACGAAGCTCACCAAATTGGTACGTCACACCGACGTGATTTTTAGACGTCATAGATACGTCACTGCAACGTCATAAGAGTAACGGTTTCAATATAGGTATACCTAAATAATCATTTTTATAAATACATAGCTTGTTGGTTTCCGAGATATACAGTGTGTCAAAGTTTTTTAGAAAAAAGTTTTTCAACTACTTTTCGGGTATATTAATAATTAGAATAAAACTTGCATGTTGATTTGCTTTCATGAGTTATACTTCTGTTTCACATGATAATATATAAGTATCCATGGTTAAGAGAAGGTCTGGGAAAAATAGACGTCGTCAGGACGTCCCTGCAACGTCATGAAACTGACGTCTTCTTTTACTCATCTAAGTGACGTTCACTCGACTTCGAAACGATGACGTGATTTTCACGTCATAGAAAGTACGTCATAGTGACGTCATAAATTGGTGTGTGACGTCTCTGACGAAAAATCACCAATTAGGGACGTCACAGTGACGTAATCATTCGTCATCTGGTTGCCTGGGATATGACAGAGTGGAATAATATTAAAATCATTGGAAAAGAAGATAACAACCAGAAGAGAAAAATCAAGGAATCTGCTTGCATTCTTCTGAACGGAGACGACAGCATTGCTTCCTGTTCAGTTGATATAGATAGAACATGGTATTCACTACTGAAAACTGAACATGAAAATGGGAAATTCAAGATTAATTAATGAAAACATCCTGTAACTCATTTGATTGCCAACGTCACTAATTGTCATTGAAAACTGAAAAGCTTCAAGACACATTATACGACTTCGCTTTGAAATAATCTCTTTTCATGTTGAAAACGGGAGCAGATTCGTTCCCGAAACGTCCAAAGCTAAGTGAAAATATGATATTTTTTCTATACATGTACCTTTATTTCTCTTCTCCAAACCTTTTTCAATACAAATTGTCACTGACAAGCTAGTGCATTTTTCTTTCAGGCTCTCTGATAGGAAAATTCTTCAAACGCAGTGACAATTTTAGAAACGAGGAGAGAAAATCCCAAAAAATCTGGAATAATGAATAATAAAACAATCTAAATTTCCTGATGAAAAAAGTTTTCCGAAAAAAAAATTATTTCCAGGTTATCTCAGTGATATTTTTGAGCTCAAATTATTTTTTGCCAGTGGTTATGTACACGTACAAAGATCGTCAGACCATGTAGTGAACTTAGAATAAGGAGGTAGTGAAGTAGTGAGTAGAGTAGCTTAGTTTTTATACTTTTTCGACATAGATGAGACAAATATTCGTCCAGAACTCCGTTCATTAGCTTAAAGTCTCTGCTGGATTAATTTTACCACTCTCATAACTATTTTTTATGGCTATACAGAGTTGTCCTTTTTAACGTTTAGAACATGTTGAAGTTGTTGGATTCTTATACGTGGAGTGATGAATAAGTTTCTTAGTTATTTTTGTACAGATATTGATTGAATTCGTTTATAGTTTTGTTACCTACTGTACTGTTTACTATTTTGTTATGATTTTTATTAACTTTTTGTTCAGGTATTTTCTGGACTTTTTTTATTCACCGAGTGGTTATGTATGTATAAAAATTTGAAAATGTGAAATTAGCAACATATTTTCTTGAAAACGAGTGACCTATCAGTATCCTGTTGTTTATTTTGGGATTAATTTTTTTTGTTACACCCATGAGAACTGAAATCTACAGTATATTGTTGGAAATAAAGTTTGTAGTGGATATTCATCAGATTTGTCCGATTATTTCCCACCAAAGTGTCTTCCAATATAATCTGGAAAAATCATTTTACCGAACTCCGATACAAAGACTCGGAAATTAAAGTTTTTTGAGGAATATTTGCTTTGATTCTCCAAAACATACTCTTGTTCAACTCAGTTAAATGCCTTTCAAATCAGAGTAAAGGGATTCCCTTTGGATATGAAAAATTATCTGGTATAAGTAGACAAAAATAATTATACAACAGGAATTATCAAACACTTTATTTGGGTCTCATCAAAAATACTTTGTTTTTCGAGGAATGTCATCATATCTAGAGTTCTTTGGCATTTTTCTACTTCTAACCATAATATAGCTATTCTGAGAGTAGGTTAGTTAAATAAGCCAATGAAAAAATTGAATAAACGTAGGTATATTTATAACATTCATAATATGTACAAGAGTACAATGAATATTTATTAAAATACGATCATTGCAATATGGTTATAAAGTATACACACATCCATGATTTAAAAAAATGTCCAGCAACAACACATATTATTTATTATAATATTCACAATAGGATTTTTCAATAATTTGTATATAATTTGAGCACCTTATCCATTTAATCGAATATTCTCGCGAAATATCAGGCATTCATGATCCCGAATAAAATTGGCAGAGGCCTAAGAATCACACCATTATTTTTGTACATTATCGAATGACCCATTCATCAGATAATCACATGAAAACTAATTCGATTAGTTCGTTATAGGGTGATAATGAGGAAATGTATAAGATAATATTCGTATTCAAAATCAAAATTGTTTCCCAGTAAACATCAAATCTCTGGCCGCCTTCTGGCCCAGTACAGGGTGAGCCTCTTGAAATAAACCCCTTCCTAACTCTTGTTTTCAAAGATGTGAAAGAATGTTGAAACAAAAAGTTGTTTGAAACGACCCAAACTTGCTTCATATACAGAGTCATTCGTTTTTCCTGAAAGGACATTACCATTGATTTTTTCAATGGAGCACCCTATATATTTTCTGACATGATAGAGCCTTTTTTCCTGATTACAAAAATATATATGAGTCGCATATTTTGATGAAAAATAATTGAGATATTGATTATCAAACTTTACCAAAATACCGAATAGGTACCATTCAAACTGTCTATTCATATTTTTTTGTATTGACAATATATTTATAAACGTTATTTCAACTTACATTAGATGATATGAAATGAGGGTTATTCATAATGCTGTATATTTTGGTAAATTTTGATCATCAATAATAAATTCAGATTACTAGTAGCTATGAAATGAAAAAATAAGTGGTGCAAGAATGTGATTTATCAATGGGTTTTGGACTATTGAATTCGATTGTTTTGCAGTACTTTGTAAGTGACACCTGGGTAACAAATTATTACAGAACTTAATAGTTTAATTAAATTCAGTCAAAATTAAATATCTTCGAACGCCAAAGCACCGATTTTATTCCGTTGATAACTCAATTGAAACTCTTCAGACACCTCATGGTTAATTCAAAATTTTCTCCCCAGCTTCAATATCTAGTTGAAATTGACTTCGAACACATTCCAACATGAATCACACTTTGCTTCAACAAACTTTGGCAATTCTACCCGTATCGTGTGAACCTCAGTTCGAAACTTAATGCTAATTTTGTATCCCGCCGTCATGGAATTTGTTGTTCGTTAACCTCACTCTCCAGGGAATAATATAGAGGGTGCCCAATTATCATCAGCCATTCTTGCTCAAGTCCCAATTGTAATCAACAAGTTTCGGTATTTTTTTTGGATGTATGATAAATTGATATTCATCATACAAGACGTAGAGAGAAATTCTGAAGTGAGAAAACCTAATCACGAATCTGCGATTGAGGTCGATAAAAATAACAAGTTTCCATCGTTCAAGTTTGAATCCTTCGATTGGGTGAAAGTATTGAAAAAGAATATTCTCAGATATATTTATGAACACAAAAAAATGGATATATATGAAGAAATACATTGAGAATTCGCATTCTCCATGTGATGAAAATATTAATTCTTCCTCTGTTTATTCAACATAAAACAACTACTTTCCTGGTTATATATGCCACGACGAAAATTGAATTACATCTATTGAACACTCACGATAAGAATTTGAAAACAAAATCTCCTATACATTTCAATTTTCATTTCAGTACTGAACATATTGAACAGATATAATTCAATGTTCGACGTGGCAAATTGTCAGGAAAGTAGTTGTTTTCTGTTGAATATTCAGAATGATATTATATACATATCTTTATATGAAAGAGAATGCAAATTCTCTACTCCAGAATCAAATTCTTATCGTGTGTTCAATAGATGTAATTCAATATTCGTCGTGGCATACATATAACCAGGAAAGAAGTTGTCTTCTGTTGAATAAACCGAGAAAGAATTGATATTTTCATCGTGTGTTCAATAGATGTAATTCAATATTCGTCGTGGCATACATATAACCAGGAAAGTAGTTGTCTTCTGTTGAATAAACCGAGAAAGAATTGATATTTTCATCACATGGGGAATACGGATTCTCAATGCATTTCATTATATATACAATATCCATTTTTTTGTGTTCATAAATATATCTGAGAATATTCCTTTTCAAAAGTTTCGGTAAGTTTTTGGATGCACCTACACCCCACCCCGTATACATTCGATTCAGCTGTTTCTTATCCGTATTATACGGCGGATATTTGCGTTTTTTCTTGTGTCTTGTCAATTCCATTAGTGTAGTGGGAAAAGGGATTGAATCTCAGCAGGTGCTTCAGTCTGAAAACTTCTTGGAAAGTGGTTCGGAATTGTCTGGACATGGTGCAGTAGAGAATGAAGTTGATTCCCGAGTTGGTAAGAGCCAAAATGTCCATTACGTCTCCTTGAACAAAAAAGAGAAAAGGAAAGTAATGTGAGAATCTGATTATGAAACAATGGGCTATAGAAAGGATGCCGTTAATATACGGGGTATACATAATAGTATACTGTTTAACGAGCACGTGATTTCCTACGAGAATGATTCATTCGAGTAGGAAATTAGCATTCCGTGCAAGTTATACACTATAATTTTTCTACGGCTGTAACAGATAACAGCGGCATTTTCGATTTCTTCAGCTTGTAGCCATCTGATTTCCTGTCAAGTAATGGTCATTTATTATTAGATAGAGCTGTCATTGCTTGCATTTTGACATGCCATGAGCGATGAGATTTTTTTGAAATAACATAATGGAGTCATTGTGATATCAGATACGGAAATAAAATTGATGACATACAAAGTACCTCATTGATGTATCGAACACAGTCGTAAAACAAGAGCAATTTTGTGTTATAGCCGTCGAATAATTAGATTGTGGTTCTCTGCTACATATTTGTCATATGTATGTCGAAGACCTGAACCTTCGGCACACTACTATATTGTTTTTCTATACTAGCGTTTTAGTGTTGGAAGAGTCACTTTTCCACACTAGTATGTTTCCGCACTTTGGTGCGTAAAAGTAACTTTGTTGAGTTTTTTGAGGAGTATATTCACATTTCAATATTTAATAATAATAATAAATGTTACTTCATGTTTACTTCTGGGTCTTTTCCGCACGCGAATAAAAAAACATTGTACCAAACAAGGTGGTGAATTGCATAACGAACCATTTATTTGTTGAAAGTATAGTATATCCAATATCAATTGCAGATTATCCCGCGCACTGTGCGGCATCGACGTGTTTGAAGTTACCTTTGAAGTGACTGCAGGTGAGGCACGATTGATTGATTGATTGATTGATTAATAGCAGAATGATCAGTCAGGGTTCGAAGCCCAAAACACTGCAGCCTTTGGGCCTATTGTATTCCTGATCATGCTGTTGACTTAGGTGAACAGGTTCGCTACCTTGATAGCAGCCTCTTCACCAAATCATTCGTTGGAAAAGCCTCTTGAGAGTTTACTGCTTCCAGAAAGTTGTATCTCCAACGCGTTAGCGCTTCGCACTCCAATATTACATGGGTGGCAGTTTCCTCCTCCTCATTGCATAGTCTGCTTATGGGTTCGTCTGTATAGATGCCCATTCGATGCATATGTTTCCTCAAGGGGCAGTGACCGGTTATTAGTCCCGTCACTTGTCTGATCTGACTTCTGTTTAGGCTCAGAATGTCGTTAGTCGCTGATTCGGACAGTGTTCCAACCATCAGTTTACTGTGTCTTTGTCCTGGGACATTGTTCCAGTATGCCTGATGTCTTTCCACGGCTTCGCCCTCGAGCTACAAATCGCACCTTGGAACTATGTACTATTATTGATGAAAAGATAAGTACCTACCTAGCTACTGATGACACACTGAAATTGACATATCGACACATATTTCCTAAACAACAGAACAAAGCCATCTATCAACATCCCTATGAAAACCGTGCAATACTGAGATTGTTTTGTACAATATTCATCACTTACAATAGTAGTCGTAGGAAAACTACTAGTTACGCACTTACCAAACCGATCGTTCAACAATTCGCTTACTAGCTATAACAAAATATCCTATATTCTACAGGGTGCTTCCGAAATTGGGACAATAAAGTAAATGAAGTGTTCTATACATTGGACATAGTCTAATATTTTTATCCTTGTTTGCTTAAAACATTTCCCTCAATGATCCTTCCATCATAATTCTATTCCTGGACTCGGATGTCAAGCAGGTAGCTATATAGTTGCATCCATGGTGACGTTAATTGTAGCCATAAAAATGCATGGTCTGCTGACTGAAACCATAATTATGCGACTGGCTTCTGTTGGTTGACTCGGTCTATTTGTTGTTTCGTCTTCCACCAAGTGTTGCTTATCTTTTGCACACTTTTTTTACTGTACTGATGAAGGGCCGAAAGCCCGAAACACGTGTCTACGGTTAACTCTTTATGAGAGTTATGTCCAATATTTTTATTCCTGTGACATTTTAAAACCTGTCAAAATAGATGGAATGTCAAACTTTCTGCCGGTCACAGAAAAAATGGTATTTTATGCCTCCACCATGAACAAACTCGACTGTATCATTTATTCTGCCTGATGGATGGTCATTTCAGGCGGAAAGGGTTCATTAATATTTATCCCTCAGTGCTCGCAGTGCTTTTTACGAGGTGATTGCTGTTTGCAAGGTCATAATATAATCAAAACACCGCAGACATCGGAGTGGAGAAAATGGTATCGTTAGGCTCTTAGAACAACTTCTCTGGGAGAGACGTTATGTTAATGTCGGTCGTAAAAGGGAAATAACAGTCAGGACTTCTTGTCTCAACATTTTCAGGCCACAGACCTTTTATGGGATCATCTGAAAATTATCTCCTTATTCCTAAAAGGTACTCACTTTCTTGTAATATACACTCACTGGCAAAAAAAGCGGCCAGCAAAAAAAATAGGGAGGAATTCCGACCAAATCTTTCAAAATGATGTTTTTTTTTCAATTATTCCCACGAAAAGGGATATCCTATAATGTTCTTCTTAAATTTCTGGAGGTTATATGCCTCGGGGAACACCTCCCTTGGCAGTGTTCCAGAGCCTCGCTGTTCGTTGGATGAACGAGTCTTTGGATAGAGATGTTCTGCAGGTCTCCAAAGTGACCACGGAGGTGTACGAAGCCTCAACTCCACGGGTTAATCACGCGGGGACTGCCAAGGGAGGAACAATTGTTGATATTTCAGAAGAACATCGTCCATGGAAATATCTATAAAATAAAGCCAGATCGACAACTTTTCTACGGTGTTCCAGAGATGTGAGTGAGTTTGTGAGCGAGGCATCACCCACGAGACGGTTTGCCCTTTTTTGGACAGAATCCAACAGTTTCAGGGTATGTTTAGGTGCTGCACTCCAAATATGGAAACAGTATTCCAGGAGAGGTCAGATCTGTGCCTTATAGATCATAAACAGCTGACTGGAAGTGAAATAGCTCTTGGCACGAAACAGAAAACCACATCAATATCTTCTTTTTGAGAGAAGATACAAGTGTTTTGAGAATGTATGGAATTTTTAAACTTGCAGAACCAACATGGACATATCACTATTACTAATTATTTTTATCAATTATTTCCATCTCGTTTTTCAAGCACTCACCACTCACCAGTGAACAGAAAACTTATAATTATTAAACACAAATGAAGAGCAGACCTGTGTCACAGAGAGTCCCCTGTATTCTACAATCCTCTGTATATCCTATCGCTAGTTTTGTTGTCGTTAGAAGGCTGATGGTATTCTTTTGATGTTGTTGTGTACAAGTCTGTCGGGAATAGAGTATCATCAGCAATATTCACATTTTCAATAAAAACTCTTATACAGTCCACAATTGAGAAGGAACATTGGTCCTTCGAGCCGGATATTTGAATCAATTGGGGTTCCAGTGGTGACACTAAATGGCGTGCAGCGGCAGTGGAGGTGTTACGAGGAATTGATCCAGCTATTGAGGAGTGATAGAGTTTGTTAGACCAGGAAGGTATTCTATCGTGTCTCCCCTTATCCAATCGTTTATATTGCTCTCGATCTGTACTGATAAAGATTACAAATATTGCTCGAATCGATAATGTCCAACGAAGATTTGAATAGAAAGAGAGGTGGAATTAAAGCTAAATTAACTCTATTCCAAAAATATATTCATTGAATTAAGAAAGAACCTTCTCTAAATGATCTTGATGTTTCACGAATTGAACACAGACTTTCTGAAGTCGATTTATTGTTAGGAGAATTTGATGATACACAAAATTTGAATGAATTAAGTGTCGAAGATGTTGACTGTGAAGAACAATATACTGTACGTGAAGCCTTTGAACAACAATTTTATTCATCTTTCTTTCAGTTTTTTTAACTAGTATTCATTCAAGAACTGAACACTTCGATCGAAATTTCACCACAATTGAACAAGAATTAATAAAAAATACAGGGCGATCAATTTGGCAGAAGTTTCTGCTGGTCGTTTTTTTTTGCCGGTGAGTGTATATATAGCATGACTTGTAGAGGAATCGCCACACTAGAGTTTGAGGGTGTGAGATATATCCTAATATTGATGAGTTGACATCTGGTACATATTTTGTGATAGAATTTTTCTCTTGGGCAAATTAGCTTAGTATGCAAATTCTTTTTCCTGTGGATGGGAGCATTGCCGAAAGCATGTAGACTGTGTACGTGAGAAATTTAATAAAATGATGAAAGTAAAAGTATCCCCTGATATAGCTGGTATGATATGAATAACAAATGCAAAATGTCAGAGAAGAGCGTTGTTGATGAAAGTGAAAATGGTAATATGCAAGAAAATTGCGGAAGGAAAACATATTTGTCAAGAAAAACTGAAAGATCATTCCAACCCCCGAGAATGGGAAATTCATATTATTATGGATTACTCCAGGATATCCAGTTTTTTTCGGATCATTAACATCATAGAATTTCCCTCATTTATTTTGATCCACTTATTACATCTCGCCGATACTCACAACATGAGTTTAGATAGGTGAATGCTTTTATCTACGGCCACTATAGGAAGTAGGCAAGATCACACGAGATATAGCCTCAGTAAGTAGATCTTTACGCACAGTAAGCACAACGCACAGTTTTCGTTTATTCTGCCAGTATAGGTATGTTATGATCGCGTAATCGCCGTCAACAGCGGATGACATAACTGTCAAGAATTATAATTCAGACTGTTTGTCCAAACTTTTTTGATGTCCTATATGGCAGTATAGGTAAAGTATAGTACGTAATGCGTGTTGTAAATCAATTACGCACTCAAGGTATTACGTAACTTTTCCATTCGTGCGTAATATTCTCCTTACAACACATATTACGTAATATACTATAGAATAATTAAGGGAACCATCGAAATACCCATATAAAAATTTCAAACCAATCGGTTCAGCCGTTTAGA